TATGTCCAGAACCGGCCTTGTTTATCTACTGTAGTGGCAGTGGTGGTTATGACGGTGGTGGTAGTGGTGGTAGTAATTTGGGCAGTGGATTTTCCGGGGTCAGATGTCGAGAAAGATTGCGCGAGAAAGAAACAAAAAACGCAGGCGGTGCGCACTCGGCAGCACAAAAAAAAAGAACAAACGCAATTTATGTGCCTCAGGTAGCACGGATAATAGGTATGATAAACGAGAAAAAAAAGAGAATGAAAAACAGGTTAAAAATCCGTTAAAATCTAAGAATACCTGGTGAGAAGGCACCTTCGTAAGAGTAGGATTATCTCTACTGAACTCATCAATAAAAAAAATATATATATATAATATCGGGGGAATTAAATAATTAATTAATTAATTCAATTCACAATGAACTCAATTTTGCTGTCAGTCCGTAGGGGTCGGAGACATTCGGGGCGAGGGGAATTTCAATCTCAACAAGAAAAAATGATGAAAAAAATCTCAGAAAGGGGATGAAAAATTTGATTTGAATTGAAATTTAAAGGGACTCCAGAGTGTGATTTTTCTTTAAATTCAGAGATTGAAAAAGATGAGTCGAGTTCAATATTCCTTGTTAATAACGGGAAGTGAATTTATTATTGAAATCCGTGCGATTTTATTTTGGTCGTATTGATTTTAATTTTAATAATGCCCTTTGGAATGCGGTGGTTTATTCGCGACGGTGAGCCTCGGGAAATAATACGCCAGAAAAAGGAAAGAAATATAAACAAACCGCGTGTGCCGTATACAGCGGCTGGCCCCACGTTGGGCGCCAATTGTGACCTTGGCCGGGGAATTAAAATATATTAATTCCCGGCGAAGGCCCGATAGTCGGGAATTAACAATAATAGATGATTTTACTAAATGACTGTCTAAAAATGTACGGGGGGGGACCCTGAAATATAACGGGGGAGGGGAGATTGTGAATAATTGGTGGACGTGATGATTTAATATTCTATATTTTAATTATTTTCCACACAAAATTCATACAAAACAAATCAGGCCTTTTCTTATAATTAATCAACGGCGGGGGGTAAGGCCAGCCAGCTTGCGGCACACGGAGAAACAATAATCATTAGAAAAAAAAAGAAAAGAATGTTTGTAACGCGAACAAAAGAAAAGGGGGGAAGTTAAATAGTTGCCAAAAAAGGGGAGAAGTTAGGGGAACGAATGAAGAATTAATAAAATTTAGGGGGGCTTAATATTGTCTAACAAATATTCCTGGACACAAGAAATCGTAATTTTTAAATAATTATAATGATGAAATTTAGAGGCTCAACGTTGGGGGGAAATATTATTAGCGGGGTTTAGGTGATCCTTGTTGGGGCAGGAAGGGAATACAGGGTACTCACGGAGATGGTGGATTCCTCTCTCGTTCACCAGAATTATCCAAACGAACTCCTCGCGATGGTCCTTCCTTCTTTCGTCACTCCTGGGTGTCGTGAAAATCCTCCAAACACACAGGTCCACTCTCCCTCCCAAATCCTCCACAAATCTCTCTTTACAAAACACCTTCACACTCTCCTCAAAAATATCTCCTCAAAAATATCTCCTCAACAATATCTCCTCAAAAATATCTCCTCAAAAATATCTCCTCAACGATATCTCCTCAAAAATATCTCCTCAACAATATCTCCTCAAAAATATCCTTTAACTCAATCTGATAACCACAAATCTCCCAGCAAAACACGGTTACGCACGGGGCAGCTGTATTACGAGTGATGGCTTCCCCATCCTCGTTATTCTTCTTCCCCGATTATCGGTGATAATCGGGGTCAATCGGGGACACTCGTCATCGGGTGTCCTCGTCCTAATTATTTGTTGTGTCAGATTAATATGTGTTCCTTTTCTCTCTTCCGGGTCACGTGGGCTGTGACGTAGGAGTGGTGGTTTTCTTTCCTTCCAGGTCACGTTGGCCGTGACGTAGGGATGGTGGGTTACAGTTGTTCTCTCCGGCTTGCGTCGTGCTGTTTCAGTTGGTTGTGAGTGTACGGCCTGGGTAACGCAAGGCAAGGGGAAGGAATATCTCGGGAGTGGGAGCCAACGGTGGCAGGTTCGTCGATTTATCCTAACCTAATTATTAACCTTCTTAAATCTAAAACAAGTCATCATTAGGGGCAGTGGAGGGGTTAAAAAAGTGCCTCGTCACAAACTTCTCTCGTGTGGCAGACATTTTATCCTCCTATTTCGGTTAAGTCTAGTGTTGAGGACCGACATATACTTGGCAGATGAGAAATTAATTATTTATTTTAATTATGGTCATTCGATTGCGGATGGTTTGGAGATATTTTGGACAGTTGTTTTAAGATTTGGGGAAAATTAATCGATTTATTATAAATTAATTAAGTTTTCGCGTGTAGTTAGCAAACCAATTAACTTAACCAATGTAGTTTTATTATGCCAAATCTTGGACTTGTAAGGGAATTCGGCTTTACACGATGTTGGCTTTGTGTTTATTCACTAATGACTTCTTGTATATTTGTAAATTGCAAGAAGTTTTCGTTCGAGGAAAGGAATATTCTGTCAAACACAGTGACAATAAAAAATATGTGACACGTGTACTAGCGATAAGCCGTAAGTAAAATTGATTACATGAGACACTTCATTAATTCCATCTATTCATATATTTTTCTCGTAGAGTTTATGTAATCGCGCATGCAAAAATTCAATACGAAGCTCTACTCCTGTTTTCCAGAAGTTTTAATCAATTCCTGTTGGGATTCTACGATAATTCTCTGGCCATTCTATTACAATTTTATCATTATTTTACGTTAATTCCGCTGCTGACTATCCAACCTGATACACGAAAGCTAACGGATTTTCATTATTCTATAGGCATTATTGAACGTATAACCCATTGTCCTCCACTGCATTTTATTTTATTTCTTGAAATAAAATGGAAAAAAAAATTTTGTAATTGGTATCCTGTGCAATCTCTGAGCAATTAAACTCAGAATGAATTATTTTCGTCATGAATCCGGAGACAAGTCTGGGTCTAATACACTCGTGATTGACAAAAAACCCGAATAAAATTTTCGAAGGAAATTCTAGCAGTACTCCTACTGAATTCTGATAGAAATGCCAATAGAATTTCAAAAGGATTCCTCAGAGAAACCACTAGATTTTGTTATTAAACATTTTCATTATCAATATATGATTACCCTTACAGAAAATGAACCGTTCTTGAGCAAATTCAAGTCAAATATAGAAGGTGGTGCACGGAAGGAAATCGAGGGGTACTTGACCCTTGAGCATGACAGATTGATGTCTTATTCGCAGGTGTCCAAAACAGTCATTGAACATGCAGGTAAAAAATTAAAGCAGTCATTGATAGTTACAGTTTCTTTCTATGCACTTTAAAGTCAGTCATTCAGTTTTTCTCCTGCTCTCAACACTAATAATGCTCTTTTATGTTTTTTCTCAGATGATTTTATTTTTGCGGACAAATCTATTTGTTCGGATATCAATGGGGACTCAGGCATACGTGTATGAGTACTGAACTGGGCGAATGAGCAAGAAGACTTCTTCGGTGAGAACAATTAGCAAAACTTAAAGTCCATATAAATAGAAAAATATTATATGGAATAAAAAAAAACAATGTGTTCTTTGGCGCTGAATGTTAATTCTTTCTAGATAAGGGATATGGATTCATTGCATAAAGGATACCGATTCATTTTATCCTCGTAGATTCAACGAGAAAACCATGTATTGGTGCCTTGAAAATTAATTGGATATTTCTTTCAATGTCGAATTCTATCCAAGACTTCAGACATCATTTCCTCGACCCATGAACAAGTAGGACATTTTATGAATAATCAACTACTTAATTATTGAAATCAGAAATTGTGGACAGAGATAGTCGTTTCAATAAAGAATTTTTATTATTGTCAAATCGATATTATCAATTATTATCAATCATCAAGTAAATTCTCATTTAGCTTTCAAACAATTACTTTCTTTTTGTCCTTTAATTTTTTTTTTTCAATGCCTGAATGCAGTATTTATGCAATTATTGATCAATGTTAATTTTCTGTTTACCTGAATCTCATTGGTGCATTTTCTTTATCAGATACTCATCCGCAATTTTGGAAGGTAAAACTGAGGGATTCCTCTAAAGGCACCATCAGTACTATCTCACCTTCAGCATTCCAACCAAAAAAAAAGAACAGCATTGTCTTCACTAATCCCTCCCAGCGACACATCTCCACTAAATTTTCGAATTCGAAAGACAGATGAACAACGTCATTGCCCATTGGACTCCAGTCATGTTGGAGATAATAATACCTCACTATCACAGGAAAAATGGACAGAAACACTGGGGACTATCATAGTAACACTCTCAGGCACCCCCGACGGGAGCATCAATTCCAAACAACGGCCGAGCCTCGATCAGTTTTCTCCATACGACGATCAAGACGATTTCTCAGAAGAAAAGAATTCTTCGTTGATCACAGCTTCAAATTTAAAGATGCTTGAAATGATTATTAAGGATTGTCAATCCCGAGTATCTGATGAGGGCGCATTTGCGTCTGCCTGGTAGATTTTTCATTGAACCTTTATCAAGAACCTCTCCGATGTATATACCCCTGATCACTACCATGTTTTCAATGCTGCTGTGCAGGTCATCGCAGGGTATAATCCAGAGCAAAGGACATACAGGAGTTCAGCAGCAGGCTCCTATCTTAGAAAACTACTGACGAAAGTTGGCGGAATCCATCGATCTGAATGTATAGAAAGAGGCATGCACAAGGAACAGAAAAAGACTGAAGAGTTTTTGAAATTATTATCGGATGATTTTAGCACTCAAAACAAGAAGGTAGTGGCTGGGACACGGACTTCTAATGAAAAAAATAAAACTATTGTTTGAGTTTATAAGAAAAAAATTGCATATTTTATTTGCCTTCCAATAAAATCTAGATTTTAATATAAATTTTCAATGAAACGAAGATTATCTTATCGTAGGGAATCTTAGTCTTCGACATAAATGAGCCCAAGAGGTACCAGTTTCTCATGCAAATATGACTCTTTCACTGGTTCAATTTTAGGTGACATATCATCACATTTTAGCCAAGTGCCTCCATTTCGTAGACAGTAGGCAGTGAAGTGCCCTGGCGTGTATGTGATGACTCCGGCCAGTCTGAAAGGTAAACGTTCATATTGAGTCACTATCATTGTCGTTGTGAGGATCAGTAAAAAAACTTATTGGGTAACTCACCGAAATTTTCGATCGAAATTGAGTGTTTTTGGGAAACTGCCCAACGCAGATCTCAGAGGTTCTTTTACTTTCTGTCTTCTTTCAACTACTTTGTTAATTCTTATGTCTACATCCATGAAAATGTGTGTATTACATGTCGTTATTTCTGAAATTGATCATGTACAATTTTCTACCGGGCATCTGCCACCATGACGAGCATGACAGTATTGCACAGCTTCTTGCAAGGCCTCAAATCCATTGTTCTTTATTTCTCGTTCATCAATAGTAAGATACGAAATGTCCTGTTTTCGAGGTGGACACTGGGGATTACTGCAACTTATTCTTCTAACTGCACTGAGTTCTGAATGTAATGAGTCAGTCCAGATCTTAGTGATGAAGTCTTCAGCAACCAGATTCCATGGTGAGAGAATACTGGCGTCAGGGCCTTTGTATATTGGATAAAACTTTCGGAGGATTTTTAATCTTTCAGAGTAAAGCACACTGCTAGATCCTTTCTCGCGAAATTCCTGCAAAAATTTCAGAGTCGGCTGAGTCGAAGTTTCTATAAACGATAAATATTTGCTATTATCTGAGTTCGCGAACTGCAAGATGTGAATAATGCTGTCGAATCCACAAGTTTTTTTAACATAAACTTTCAATCGGTCACCGGAGGTAAAAGAGAGTCATTTCGCAAAAGAAAGCCTTTTGTATGACTATTACCTCTTCTGTTCAGGAGTTTTATTTCAGGACAAGGTTGAAAATGACGTCCTTTGGAGATCACTCGTTTTGTATTTGCCATTTTAGCTTTGAAATTTTTCAAAACCTTTCCACCATTCCCACTTTGTATCTCCGTTAAATGTTCTTCAATTTTGAGGTCGAACTGATGAAATTCATCAGTCGCAGGTACATTCTCATTCAATTCTTGGAAACTGTAACATAAAATTTGGCAATACGAGTGATCTGAGAGCACTGTACTGTTCAACCGAGGTTCGTCAGAACCGATCGGAAAATCGAAATGGTGAAAGTGCCATTGTTCCATATCCTCATGAAATTTTGTGGAATCATGCTTTGGAAAAGCCTCGAAATTCTCATTCGCCGAATTCTTGTTAGAGGTCTTAGCACAGTTTTGATTCATATCAGGCATAAAGTTGGAGATTTCAGGAGTTGTTTGAGTGTCGACCTGGTCCCCACGATCATGTGGATGACTAAGAAACTCTTCGACTCCCATAGCACCGTCTTTTGAAGAAGCCTCAATGTCCGCATTCTCCTACTTCTGATTATTAATGTTACCAGAGTGGTGGTTCAGATCAAACAGAAAGCAGGAGATTTCAGGAGTTGGTCGAGTGTTAACCTGTTCTCTATGACCATGTTGATGACGAAGATGAATTTTAGGGGATGAAAAGTTGGAGAGTTCAGTAGCTGGCTGAGTATTGGGCTGTCTTCCACAACCATTTGGATGATCAGAAGACTTTTCAACTCTCATAGAAGCGTGTTTTGGCGAAGCCTCGGTGTTCTCGTTGCCCAAATTCTCATTAACAACATTATCAGAGTGTTTCTTCAGATTAGACCGGCAGCTGCAGGTTTTCGGAGCTGGTTGAGTATTGGACTGTTCTCCACGACCGTATCGATGATGAAGACGCATATTAATAGGTGAAAAGGTGGAGGGTTCAGTAGCTGCCTGATTCTTGAGGTGTCCTTCATGATCACGTGGCCGTGGAGGCGTATTATTTTCGTCAGAGCTAGAATCATTTATGAACACCTTGCCATTTTTCAGTCCTCTCCATGGCTCAGAAGACTTCAAATCCAAATCGTTAGCATTGTATACTCTTTCAGGTGGTTTTTTCAATAGAGAGTCAGTGTCATAAGGAAGAGCACTGTTTGCTTTTTCGGCAGATTTTTTAGATTTTGATGGTTGTGGGCTTACATGTTTTCTTTTCAAATCAGACTTCCCATTTTTTGAATGCTGGGGTTTTAGTGGAGTTGATGTGGGCCTCTGTTCGCTCAGAGCATCGAAAAGATATGAATCGATTCCTGAAGAATTGTCATCTTGGATTTTAGAAGGCGATGAGTGAGTTTGTTTTTCGCGGTGGACAAAATGAGGCAATTTGCTGGACATCAACTTGCTGCCGGTTAGCAGATGGTCCATGTGGATTTTCAAGGAAGCATTAGCTTGACAAGGCAATTTGATCTTTTCAAAAACTTGGGATCGCATGCGTGCGAAATAGGCCTCTTGATAAGCAGTTGAAGCATGCGTCCCTCTGTCCGGAATGGCAGCAGCAGACCACAGGGGAAATTCCTTTGCTATTCTCTCCAGTTGAATGATAAAATCGGGTAAATAGAAAGCATTAACTGATTTGCCTTTCATTGCATCAGGATCGACAGGTTTCACTGTGGCAATCGATTGTTTTATCCACTCGTGCGTTAGAGTATCATTTTCACCCGCAGCGAACTCTTTATCAGGAGTACTACAGGTATTTTCTATTTCATTATAAATTTAAAATAAATTGTCTGAATGAAAGAATATTACTTAATCATTTTGAAAAATGCTATTGAATTTTTGTTGAACTTCTGTTTAAATAATTTGAAATGAATTTATTCAAGAGGTTTTTCTAGTGAATACGAAATTGTTAGCCCACTCTTTAACTTGAAATTCTTTTGATCTACAGCAAAGGGAAAATTCTCGAGATTTTTCAGTGCAACCCAGAAAAAATTCTTCATAATCACACGATAGCATCATCAGGCCCCTGGAAGGCAAATTCCATCGACAATAGCATTGCTGGTGATGTTTACAACATGTCTGATTTAAAATCTCACCTCACATACAAGAGTTCCTTCAGTTTAAACCGAGATGTATCAGCTCCAATGAATTCAAACCCTGAAAAAATTGTATCATCATCAATAGCGAAAACTCGATTAATTTTCCTCGACAATCGAAAATCTAATGAAGGATCCACAGCAGAGTTTTGGTGAGAGCCCATACGAGAAAAAAAAAGAGATGAGCAGTAGAAAGTGAAGAATCATTCAGAATTTGACGGTGAAAAACGAGTAGATAAGGCGTTTATTGAGTCAGACCGGTAATTCCACGCAAGGAGAGTGTCTCAGAGTTATGTCGGGCGCATACGTTACTGGAAACGCACGGCATTTGTCCGGGATCAAAACTCATTGATTACCGCTTCCCCCAACATTTATCTATCGTATAGCAGTTTTTGAAACGATCTGAAATAGTCCAAAAATACAATGTTTTTACGGTTTATTGAAATACAAAAAGTTGGTAAGTTTAATGATGATGTTTGAATTATGTGTAAGTATCCATGACTTCAGCACACTCCTGGCAGACCCATTGTTGAACGTTTTCGGCTTTTTTTTTCAATCCCACACATTTGTGGTGGAACCACTCCCCACGAAAATTGCATATAATCGAATATCCTCTCCCCCTTATCTTTTGAAGTTGGCAAACTCTACAGAACGATTTTTTGGTGTTTAATGCATCCTTCATCAATCTCTTCAACTGGATCATTGCACATGGCTTAAAAAACTCCCTAATGACTTCCACTCTACCCAAGTGAACAAACAAATACGGCAATTTTTCTGCTTTGATGTGATTTTTTGTGAACTTCTCGATGTGCTTGATCACTCGGACTGCATGATCAAGGCCGACAATGGTTCAGAGAAAGACCAGTTTCTTTTTGAATGACGCTTCCGACATACAGCCTGCGTCATTTCCTCCAGAAGGCCCTGGAGTCTCGTCTCCAGACTTGGGAGAGGAGAGGTCCGGCGAGGGATGATCATCTTCGAGTTGGTCTTCGCGAACATTGCTGGTGTCTTCTGCTTGGGAGGATGTTCCTAGAGATGAGCTCTGAACGTCTTCGACATCAATGGACTGATCAGAATCCTTTTGGATGGGTGACGAAGGGGAACCTGAAGCAATCAGTGTAGCTTCTTAGTAGATAGACTATAGCGGTTCTGGATATAGGGATCTGCGGGGGGGTGCGGGGGGGTGGCGGGCTGGTGAGGTTGCGGGGGAGGGCAATGCTGGAATCTGCTAGGCCCTCAATCGGTAATGGGGGGAATCTTCTTTATCAGCCCCGCGGTGGTAATGTTCGGGGCTCCATTTTGGGCCAAGAATGGGGGGGGGGATATGCACCATGTGATATCTGACGTTGAATATCTACCATATGATATCTGATATCTAATATCTAGTATTTGATGCCTAATATCTCATTTCTGATGTCTAATATCTAATATGTCATAGCTGACAATCGTAGTTGTTACAAATTTCAGACGTTCTGTTGGCGGTGCATTTTTTTTCTTCTTTGATTCCACCTCAATAATCATAATTACAACAAATTAATTCATGATTTTGAAATTTCGTCTTCAAAATCATCGTGAGTAGTAGTAGAAACTAATAATGTGAAAGATTAATTTTTTTCTTATTAAATCTGAGGAATGATTTTAAACTCCATACTTCTCTCTCTCTTTCTCTCTCATTGAGATTGAAGCGCGAACTGGTCCACCGCTCACGTGGCCAAGTGTGTTTACCGGTGAGCACGTACGCGCCGTATAAACAAAACACTCGGTCTCTTGGATGAATCGCAGTGAATCGTTTTCCAAGTGGAATGAATATTCC